AGCTCGGTGGGGGCAGTGGAGGAGCATCGCCATGTCTCTTTCGGCATTGTCGGCTACCAGAAGTGGGAGGGCTTGAGATGAAGCTTTCGTGCTTCTTTGGGCCACATGAACCGGCTCGAGGATCGAAGATGTCAAGCCCACTGAAACTGACCCAATGGGCTGAGGGTTGCAGCCGGCTGGCCTAAGAGCTGCTGGCAAGCCCTGCAAGCGAGGCTTCACTGCCCGGCCAACGTCGTTGCATTGGATGCGAAGCAGAGGCCAAACATGCAGGCGATGCAACATCAGGGCATGCACCGGCATGTTCATGAGCTGCGGGTCCACATGTCCATGCCAGGGCAAAATCACAGGAGTAATCCGACACTCTCAAGCGAAAAAAATGATTAAAACAAATCCTGTAGCCTGTCCGGCCCATACCGCTCCTTGTGCTTCGCTTCAAATCACATGTTGACCGTGCAAGTATGCGGTGCAAGCTTCCCCAAGCAAGTGTTTTGTGTTGACGGTCTGCCTATGTAGGATGGCCTTTCCCCTTGACATGGCCTCTGAAGCACAGCCCCGAACTCAAATCACGAGTCACGGCTACGGGGGCAGAGTTGATTTGGTCATCTCTCAGGGTCACTGAAGGCGCGGCATGAGCCCGCTGAGTCGCTGCCCGTGGCATGGACAATGGACATTCGGGCCTCATCCTTGAATTTTAAGTTGCAAAGTCTCTGGTAGATTTCCTGCCGGGCAGGGGGTTGCGGTTCCTTGGCGGGATGGGCGCCATGGCGAACGTCACTGGCGAAGAAATGGCGAGCGCTCTCTCGTGGGGCCTTGGGAGCCAGGCTCAGGGGCAGGTGGGGCTTCCCTTCCAGGGGCGATGGCGGCAAGGTCGAGTTGGTGGTCCCCATGTGGTGAAACCTTTTTCTACTGAGGAATGCGCGGTCCAGAAATGTTTTCTCGCCCCAAATTACTCGACTTGAACCCTTGTTCTGCCGGCCAGGTGGTACACCGGAAGGAGCAAAAATGGCGCTGGCGGGATGTTCACTGGGCTCGAGAGTAGATCTCTCGCCAGCGTTTGGCTTGGCTTTTGTCTTACATCCTTTGGGAGCTGTATTAGGGCAAGTTTCGTTTCTGGTGCCAAAGGAAATGGAATTGGCTGGGAGGTCTGCATCTCCAGCCGACTGCAACAGAGAGGCAGCCGACTGCAGTTGACCCCAACAGCTTGTTAAACAGCACCATTGACCACAACAGTCTTCAAGTGAGCCTGCCACCAACAACAGCACGGACTAAATCCGACCACAACCACACTACTCACTACGTAGAAGCGACAAAGCTCATTAGGTTCCACAGCTCCCCGATGCTGGCTTCTCGATCTAGGCTGCACTGGCATTTGGCTCAGGAAAGAGGCCACCTGTTGGCCGCGCCACCGCAAAGCGGGCGCGGCGATGAGCGTTCGCTGTAGTTAGAGCCTATTGGGGATTCTTTAAAGGCTGTGGAAGCCTTCATGAATGAGACCACTTAAGCACAGAGGTCGCAGGCACAGAGAAGTTAGGAAAGGGTTTTGGCTGGTCCGAAGTTGTGCCGGCGCGTATATTGGTAGCCCCATTTGCGGCCATGCAGCAATGCGAGGCCAGAGCGGGATGAAGCGATTTGCAAAGAAGGGGCTATGACAAAGCGTCTGACAGCCTTTTGTGACAACACTGTCTTCAAATGTTCAGGGCCTTCACTTAAATACATCGGTGTCACATACAAGTTTTTGTCGTGCAAAACATGTCTTGGGGGAGTGGTTGTCCCTACTGGCAGCACTTTTCTCTTGCAACCGTTCCGCGGAGCCAAAGTAGCCAGCCAACTGTGCCGCTGGCTTCGCAGAAGGGTGTCTGCTTGTAAGAGGTGTCAAGGAGGCAAGTTCTGTGCGAGGATTTTTTTCGCAAAGAAATCCCATGTCCATCCGGAACTTTTCATTTCTGGCTTGCAGTGCCCAATGGTTTCTCGGCTGTGGCTTCCGCAGGTCTTGTGCTGCTCTTCCTCCGGCTTGGGCCTCTTGGGCCTCTTGGGGTTCCGGAGGGCTCGATCGCCATTGAGGCGCTCGGCCACTTTCCGGCGGAAGGAACCCTAGCGCAAAGCTTGCGGTTGGCTCTCGGGCCATGTGGCATTGCTGTGACCTTTTTGGAAAAACACATGGCCTTTCCATTAAACATCTAAACGATATTGAAAGATCAGATGGTTTGCGCAGAGGGCACCCCAGTTTATGGCGTATATGGGGACTTTTGCACGAGGGCTTGTTCCGCATGTTTTCTGCCACACCCGGTTGCAGAAGCCGATGCGTTTGTGCTTCAACGTCTGTATTTCGTTGGGTTTCAATTTTCGGGATGTCGGAGCGATGTTGCGACCAGCTTGTGTTTCACGTTGGATCTTGGATCGAAACCAGGGAGACATTGAATGCTTGATGTGCGTCTCCCATTGAGCTCTGCCTCGTAGTTCTGCGCTTTCCTTGCGCAGCTCTTCCTTTTTTCAAAGCGTTGGCAGTTGTCAAAACAAGATAAGTTTGGGCCTCGCTCACCGCCTCGTTCAGCACCTCGTTCACCACCACGTTTATTTCCTCGTTCAACTGGCCTTGCAAATCAGGAGTTTGCGCCACGTTTGTTTCTGCCCAACCATGTCAGGAGAAATCAAGCCCTTAGCTGCGTTTTATGTCGCCACTCCAAGTGCACCAAATTTGGGAGACCATTTCACACGGTTTCGTTCTGCACATTCATGTTTCAAAGCAAAGTTTATGTAACCTGAAAACAGTTAAGACAACACGCCTCCTGCATTTGTTTTCTGCACTCTGCCAGTCCCAGACGTTTGTTTCCACTCGCAACTTGGTATGTTCGTGCTGCGTCCCATTGGGTTTTGCGACTGCCCTGTGTTCTTTTCTGTTGGTTTCACATGCTGTGCCCCGTGGGGTTTACACCTTGCAGGCTGCTTTCGGCATCTTTTGGCGCAGGAAAAAGAACATCCCTGATACGTGCGTCCCCGTTGGGGTTTCCAAATTGGTGCGCTGACTCGTTTGTCTTCCTGAATGCGCGGCGTCCCATGCAGTTTCCTCCTTGGTTTCAAGATTGCACTGCTTTTGCTTTTGGGTGTAGGGCCTGCGTTGCAGTTGTGGCGCCTGCCTTGATTTGCACATGTCGCTGGTCTGAAGGAAAGGGGCACCCTCTCCATGACATGGATGGCTTCGTTGCCAAGTGATGATGTGTGCTGATTACAGTTATCTTGAACACATCAAGGCCGCAAGGCTGCTGCGCCCCGTGCCCGAGCAATCACAATCCGAGTTGCTACACGCATATAGTTTCTTGGGGGCTGTGACTACCCGCGTATTCTGACATACTTGCAAGCGTGAGCTCCGCCCTCACAGCATGTTTACATCACGCTTGCGATGATATTTGGTGGTGATCAAAGCTCTGCAGCGCTCATTGGCGGAAGTGAGGAAGCCCTTCAACAGAACAGATGGTGCAACATTGTATCCCAAAGGATCCCCTGAATTTAGTTCCCCAAGCATGCTAGGCAAATGTGGGGCAACACATTGCATTCGGCCGAGGGCGCAAGCTCAGGAGGCTGGATGTGCGGAGGGGCACATGGGTCAATTGGAGCCTCAGTTGATCCAGCATTGCAAGAGCTCCGCCACGAGGCAACGGCCACTTTGTTGGAAGTCATGCAGGGTGATGGTGACTTTTGGCGGGGGGTTGTATGCAGAACAGGCTCTTATAGAGTTCATGCAGGCAACGGCCGGAGCAAAACAGATTCTGGGAAGATGCCAGGTTTGCAAACAACGGTGGCTGGGACGGTAGACTGTTCGCGTATATGTCAAATTGGACCTTCTTTTCTTTCGGGAAACATGTAACAAATGCCAGCCACCAGCGTTCATGATTCCGTGCCCTTGCCGAGATAGTCTCCACATCATCCGCCAATGTGTTGCCAAGAAAAAGGTCCTTCTCTAATTTATTACGGTGACGCATGGTACCGTACCCTCTCTTGATACCCGCAGTGCCCAGCCAATTTGAATATAAAGGAGAGAGAGAGAGAGGTTTGCAATATACTATACAAGACATGGGGGTCCCACATTGAACAGACCAGAAAGGAGTGTTGTTCACTGACTTTGGTTCATCTCGATGTCAACAAAAACTTTGTCAGCTGCTTTGACTCGGGGTGAATGGATGCAGCAAGTTATCTCCTGTCAGATGGCACTCGCAATTAAGTGCTCGGCCGTGCTTTCACTTGGGTTGGCTCAGGTGAACGGATGATAAGCTTGTGCTTCTAGATTAATTAGCAGATGAAACCATGGGTGAATAGGTCATACTGGAAGCAAGCCAGCAAGGACTGAATCTCAGTTGGCAACCGGTTTGCTTTCCTATTTGCTGCATGGTGATATGCGTGTGAGCAGTGGCCCCTTTATGTTTGAAGACAGAGCTTGAATTGTGAGGGTCAGCAGTCTCAGACCTGTGGGATGAGACCTTTCTCTTTCACCGACGTGCGAGAGTGCCTCTCAAGTCTAAGTGGATACCTGACTTTGCCAAGGGGAGGGTAACTGCGTTGTGTGCCAGGTCTGCTCAGGCTTCCTTGACTTCACGGCTGGGTGTCTCAGGGTGTTTGAAGTGCAATCCAAGTGCAGCAAGTCTCATGGCAGAGATTGGAGGGTGTCGTGTTTGATGAGCTGTGTCTGTGTGAGTGTGTGTGTGATTATGTTGAATGCAGGGTCATTGCTGTTGGTTGACTTTTGGCTGGAACGGAACCGCTACGTACCCGTCAATTTGGCCAGTAATTCCGTTGCATGTCAATTCTAAAAATGACCATAATGACCATATGGACTTGGTGCAACTTGATCAATGCTCTGCCAATACCAAGCGTTCAAGCCTCTAAGCCTTCCGTGAATCGCCAATCTCAGACAAGAAGTTTGGCGAGCCATGGGGGCGAACATGTGCAAGGTGGATGGTCAGGTCAGCAAATGTGAGGTGGTCGTGAACAATGGCAACCCCTTGCACATGAAGAAGATTGACGCGCGACCCGAGCCGGCACGTGCACCACCGAGCCTGCAAGACTTCAAGGGCACCCCAAGCAAAGGTGTGAGCAAGACAGGTCTGTTCGAGGATGCGGAGTTCCCAGCCAGCAATGCAAGCATCGGCGGCGTTACAGGGGATGCTGCCAACCCCAACGTGGCGCAGTACCTGGAAGAGATGATGAAGTTGGTGGTGCCGGGATGGGCGCGTCCCCGTCAGATGGTCGGGAAAGAGGCTGGCGAGCACAAACTCTTTGCCACAGAAGGCGAGCCCTGCCTCTTTGCACGCGTTTCCCCACGCGACATCGAGCAAGGCTGCGCGGATGCATGCTTTAAGCGCGGGAAAAGCGTTGATAAGACTCTTTGCCAGATTGTAGGCACATGTTGGTGTGTATTGCAGCGTCTGAGGCTACTTGGGCGATTGCTGGCTGGTCAGCTCAATGGCGACTCTGGCAGAGTATCCGGACCGAGTGCGGTCGCTGTTCAAGCAGAACACCCTCACGGAAGATGGGCGCTACGACGTGAGGCTGTACGACCCGACGTCAGAAGAGTGGAAGGTGGTGACCATCGACGACCGCCTGCCATTCTGGCAGCGCCCAGGCAAGCACGGCAACCTGTGCTTTGCCAAGCAGACCAAGGAGAACGAGTTCTGGCCTTGCTTGCTGGAGAAGGCAGTTGCCAAGTTTGTGATGTCCTATCACCGGATTGACGGTGGCTTTGAGTCAGTGGCCATGGAGATGCTGACGGGCAAGCCCTCCGTGTGCGTTGGGCTGAGCCAAGTGCCTGGTGGCGCGCATGCCCCATATGCACTGCTCTGCGGGCAGACGCCTCAGACGGCCAAGCACGCCACCGTGTTAATGCGCAAGGAGGCCTACGACGCACACTGGGGCTACTGGGGTCAGGATGCTTCCGCCCTTCTGGGTGGCAAGAAGCAGCTCAGCGATGACGAGCTTTGGAACATGCTGAAGGACTGGGACAAGGTCGGCTACAGCTTGGCCTGCGGTTCGCGCTGCGCCTACAAGGGCATCTTGCATGGTCATGCCTACACTATCCTTAGGCGGGGGTTGGGCATGCCAGAGAGAGCGGCTGGGCAACGTGTTGGGTGGATGGTTTTAAGGACCTTTGCGACGCCTGTTGTCTTGCAATAGGAACTGAACATGGTTTTGTGCGTTTAGTGTAGGTGACAGCTGGTGGGGTTATTTATTTGCTGGAGACGTTTGCTTCGGGGTCAGAAGCCGGCCGCAGGCTGCTGGAGGTTCCTATCGACCGCAAGACGAAGGCGGGCATTGAGGAGAGGTTCACCTTGAAGATGGTGCACGTGCGCAACTCATCCGAAGAGCATGGGTTGCTTGAGGTCGCGAGGGTGTATTGGTTCAAGCCCCTCCCTATGTCTGCCAGTTGGAGCGTTCAGCAGCCAATGTCAGGTGGCTGTGCCAAGAGCCCCATGTACACAACTTGGATAATGGAGGGGTAGCTGCCCCAAGTTCTGGCGTTTGTGGCGCACTCAATGCATATCAATGCATAGTTTGCCAAACATTCTCCCAGGAGATGCCCGACAAAAAAATCGATTTGGTCAGGGTCAAGCAGTAGTCACCTGCATGACTGTCCACGCCGGCAGCGCACGATCTAGGCAACCCCCACCGCACCAACGAGTGGTTCGGGCGCTTCCACGATGATGACTGGGAGACCTGGAACAAGTACCCTGAGGCGCTCAAGGCGTGTGCCCACAAAGTCGGAGTGAAGGACGGGCTGTCAACCGCAGGTGTAGCCCGCTGCACGCGGAGAAACGTGGCTTGGTTGACCCTTTGCTTTGAAAGACCCCGACTCTAGAGAGCAAGATTGCAATCACATACCAGCGTTAAGAGTTTTACTAGACATGGACAGTTTGGCTGCTTGAGTGCAAATGAGCTCCACAGGTCTTTTTTTGGGGGGGCCCGCAGCACCATGGGCAGGACAATGGCGTGTTCTGGATGGACTGGACAGAGTTCAAGCACGGTTTCAGAGACGTCGGCATTTGCTTCGACAAGCGGAGCGAGGGTACCCGCTACACCGACAACTCCAAGGCTGCCATCAAGGAGCACCAGGAGGTGAAATTCGGCCAGGTGGGCTACCAGAAGTGGGAGGGCCTTTAGGCGGGTCTTTTTTGAGAATCCTCTGAGCGTTGTTGAGGGCAGGACGGTCGCATTTGACCCTACCTCAACGTGGTCGCATTTGACCCTACCTCACGCTGAGGTAGGGTCAAATGTGACCGGAGGTAGGGTCGTATGTGACCGGGACCCCTGTTCCGTTGTAACACATGCAACTGAAGAGTCCCTTTTTGACAGTGAGGTAGGGTCAAATGTGACCGGTGCGTTTCGCGTGGCCCTGCCGTGGAATTGGAACGCAGCATTCGATGTATCAAACGATCCAGTAGGGACAAAGGTGACCGGAGGTAGGGTCGTATGTGACCGGGGCCCCTGTTCCGTTGTAAAAAACGAGCAACTCAAGGGCCCCCTTTTGAGAGTGAGGTTGGGTCAAATGTGACCGGAGCCTTTTGAAGTGACAACGCAGCAGAAACCCGAAAAGTGATGTGGTAACTACCTAAAGAAGTGACAGCAAACCAGAAAACCCTAAAGTGATGTGGTGACTATAACTGAAGTGACAACGCAGCAGAAACCCTAAAAGTGATGTGGTAACTACCTGAAGAAGTGACAGCTAAACCCTAAACCCTAGAGTGATGTGGTGACTTTACCTGAAGTGACAGCGCAGCAGAAACCCTAAAAGTGATGTGGTAACTACCTGAAGAAGCGACAGCGCAGCAGAAACCCTAAAGTGATGTGGTAACTGCCTAAAGGAGTGGCAGCGCACCAGAAACCCTAAAGTGATGTGGTGACTACTTCAAGAAGTGACAGCGCAGCAGCAACCCTAAAGTGATGTGGTGACTACCTAAAGAAGTGACAGCAAACCAGAAAACCCTAAAGTGATGTGGTGACTATAACTGAAGTGACAACGCAGCAGAAACCCTAAAAGTGATGTGGTAACTACCTAAAGAAGTGACAGCTAAACCCTAAACCCTAGAGTGATGTGGTGACTATACCTGAAGTGACAGCGCAGCAGAAACCCTAAAAGTGATGTGGTAACTACTAAGAAGCGACAGCGCAGCAGCAACCCTAAAGTGATGTGGTACTACCTAAAGAAGTGACAGCAAACCAGAAACCCTAAAGTGATGTGGTGACTATAACTGAAGTGACAACGCAGCAGAAACCCTAAAAGTGATGTGGTAACTACCTGAAGAATCGACAGCGCAGCAGAAACCCTAAAGTGATGTGGTAACTGCCTAAAGGAGTGGCAGCGCACCAGAAACCTGAAAGTGATGTGGCGACTACTTCAAGAAGTGACAGCGCAGCAGCAACCCTAAAGTGATGTGGTGACTATAACTGAAGTGACAACGCAGCAGAAACCCTAAAAGTGATGTGGTAACCACCTGAAGAAGTGACAGCCAAACCCTAAACCCTAGAGTGATGTGGTGACTATACCTGAAGTGACAGCACAGCAGAAACCCTAAAAGTGATGTGGTAACTACCTGAAGAAGTGACAGCTAAACCCTAAACCCTAGAGTGATGTGGCGACTATACCTGAAGTGGCAGCGCAATAGAAACCCTAAAAGTGATGTGGTAACTAGCTGAAGAAGCGACAGCGCAGCAGAAACCCTAAAGTGATGTGGTAACTGCCTAAAGGAGTGGCAGCGCACCAGAAACCCTAAAGTGACGTGGTGACTACCTCAAGAAGTGACAGCAAGCCACACCCTAAAAGTCATGTGGTTAATCCCTGAAGAAGTGACAGCTAACCCGCAGCAGAAACCCTAAAGTGATGTGGTGACTATAACTGAAGTGACAGCACAGCAGAAACCTTAAAAGTGATGTGGTAACTACCTGAAGAAGTGACAGCTAAACCCTAAACCCTAGAGTGATGTGGTAACTATACCTGAAGTGACAGCGCAGCAGAAACCTTAAAAGTGATGTGGTAACTACCTGAAGAAGCGACAGCGCAGCAGAAACCCTAAAGTGATGTGGTAACTGCCTAAAGGAGTGACAGCGCACCAGAAACCCTAAAGTGATGTGGTGACTACCTCAAGAAGTGACAGCAAGCCAGAAAGCCCTAAAGTCATGTGGTGACTAACTAAAGAAGTGACAGCAAACCAGAAAGCCTTAAAGTGATGTGATGACTATACCTGAAAGCGACGTAAAAGCCTCAAGACCTAAAGTGACGCATTTGGCAAGAAACCGTCAGGTAGGGTACCGTCAAATGCGACCGGTGCGTTTCGCGTGGCCCTGCCGTGGAATTGGAGCTTGATGCTGCCATCATCTCGTTGCCAGCTGGCAATGTTGCTCGAACGCAAAGAAGGGTAGGGTCGCTTGTGGCCGGCGCGTTTCGCGTGGCCCTGCCGTGGAATTGGAACATAGTATTGCCACTTGGCACTGATTTTAAGCCCAAAGTAGGGTAGGGTCAAATGTGACCGGTGCGTTTCGCGTGGCCATGTCGTGGAATTGGAGCTTGATGCTGCCATTTCTTTGCCAGTTGGCCATGTTGCTTGAGCCCAACGTAGGGTAGGGTCAAATGTGACCGGTGCGTTTCGCGTGGCCCTGCCGTGGAATTGGAACATAGTACTGCCATTTGGCACTGATTTTTGAGCCCAAAGTAGGGTAGGGTCAAATGTGACCGGCGCGTTTCGCGTGGCCATGTCGTGGAATTGGAGCTTTACGCTGCCATTTTGGCATGGTTTTTGAAGCCAAAGTAGGGTAGGGTCAAATGTGACCGGCGGGTAGGGTCGTATGCGACCGTCCTCCCCCGGAGGCGCCTCAGCTCACAAGAGAGCAGCAGCGCGCCCTGCGCATGCTGGAGAGGCAGTCCGCTTATGACCGGCTGACCACAGGCGCAAGCTTACTAGTGTAAAAGCATGATGTCCATTGAACCCCGCAACGAGCCGCGGATGCTCCGGTGGTTCCGCAGGACGTACCCCAGTTACACCTTGCAGCCGCTGCTGCTGAAGCGCTACCGAGAACTGGAGGAGGCGCGGGCCTTCAACAACTGGCTAGGCGAGCGCAGGCAGGCGCAGGAGGGGCAGCGGCACCTGGACGACGTGAGCCGGCTGACGGAGGCCGTGCACCGCCAGGTACCCCAGCTGTGCTACGCGCGGGCCGAGCGCCGGGGAGTGGAACGGGCGGCGGACGAAGTTGCGCAACGGTAAAGAGATGAAGACGCTTCGGGCGCACGGCTTCAACCAGCGCCCGCGCTGTGAGCAGGTGGTGGGCTACCTGGAGCGGAACGAGCCGCTGCCCCTGGACCAGCCGGACCGCAAGGCCACCTCGTTCATCACAAGCCACTTCTACCTGGACGATTTTGTGCAGTCCAGCGAGGACCCCAACCCCCGGCCCCTGCAGCACACGCCCCTGCATCCCGAGGACGGCTTCCGCACTCCCGCAGAGGCCACGGACGAGGATGTGCGCCTTGCGCGGAGGTACCAAGGGTGCGGCGGAACCCGCTTTGTTGAGGATGACCTGGCGGGAGACCCCGAGGCCGGCGCGCTGGCCAGCAACGGGCAGGGGCCGCCCTCCATCACGGACCGTCTGCGCAGCACTGCAGACGGCGCGCAGGCGGCAGCGGACCTCATAGGCGCAGGGGCGGCGGGGCTCGCAGCCGCGCAGGCCTTCAGCTGCCCCAGGACGCAGCTGAGTACGTGCCTGAACGTGCTCCGCAGCCGCCGCCGCAGATCAACGACGTAGAGCGCCTCCTGGATGAGGCGGGGCAGCGCGCGCAGGAGGTGGAGCGTGGCGCAGCGCAGGCCGTTGAGGAGACGGCGGCCGTGGCAGCGGAGGAGGGCGAGGTTGCCGTTGCCGCCAAGGGTGTGGGCGGAGCCTTCGGGTACCGGGGGGCCTGGCAGAAGGAGCAGCAGCCCTGGCGCCCGCCGCGGGCGAGGTTGCTGGAACGCTGGCTGGCGCGGCGGAAGTTGGCGCGGCGGCAACGGCGGGGCTGGCCGTGGGCATCGCAGGCGGCGCAGCCTACGGCCTCGCGCGCGGCACGGGATGGGTGCTGGAGAACACGCTCTTCCGGCCCCAGCAGGGCAGCGAGGACGCGGCCGTGCAGGACGTCCGGTCCGCCAACAACATGAATGACGCCACTCAGCCTCAGCACTTCACGCTACGCTAAGCAGCCGCGCCTCCTCCCAGTCTGGCTTCCGAGTCCAGGCGCAGTCCAACCACACGCCGCGCCCCTTCTCCTGGGGCCTGAACCCTGTAACCCTGCCCCAGTCTCAGCCGAGCTCGCGGGCGAGCTCCAGTTCCGGGCAGTCGCGCCGGAGCCTGCCTCCACCCAGCTTTGACCAGCTGGCGCGAGACATTGAGGCTGCTTAAAAACCCTTGGGGAGAGTTTATTTTTGCCCGGGTTTGCGCTGAACAAATGCTATTCTTCTAGGCCGTATATCAATATACGCTGTAAGAATAGCTCGTTTTGCACGGTTTTGCGCCACAAAACGCTATTCTTCTCGTCCGTACATCTATGTACGCGCTGGAGGAATAGCATTTTCCTTCGCCGTACGACTCAAATTGCGTGTATATAAAGAAGCATGGAGGTAGTCACTGCCGGAGCCCAGGATGAGCTGATGCAGAGCCTGGACTACAAGCTGAAAACTAGCAACACCAGCTACGTCACGGCGCGGCATGACGTGCAGTACTTCCCCAGCTCGCTGAGCTCGTTCTCCCCCACAACCTCTCGGGTCTGCCGCATCCCGCTGACCAGCGGCACGTCCTTCATCGACCCCGAGTCCATCAAGATCGCCTTCCGCGTCAGGAACACGGACGGCACCAACCCGCTGGCCCCGGCCACGCCAACCCCGCCTGCTTCGTCCAGCGCGTCCAGGTCTTCGCCAACGGCCAGCGCTGCGACGACATCAACTACTACGGCCGCACCGTGGCCGTGCACGACCTGCTGAAGGGCCGGGAGTACAACCGCAACAAGGCCATGGAGGGTTTCGACGAAGTCAACGACCCCCGCATCGCCCGCCAGGGCGGCTACGCGGACGTGCTGCTGCGCCCCACCATGGTGGGCATCCTGCGCTGCGGCAAGATGCTGCCGCCGCAGCTGAACCTGGTGATAG